ATCCCAACTCAAGGACGTTAACCTGAAACATTAGAACATAATATTGTTTTCTTCTAATAAAAGCCCCATCATCTATGTTTTATTACATTGACCACATAAAAAAAAAAAAGGTTTATCAATATCTTGTTTCAACAATATGAAGTAGATATATATAAATTTAATGAGAGTTTGTTTACTTGGATAGAGTAATAGAAGTTAAATGATGAATACCTTGCTTTGGGGAACTTGCAAATTGTTTTTCTATTTTAACGCTTTGATTACTAGGGACTAGTAATAAGCTGGTTGGGGGGTGATTAGTACTTAAAAGTGCATTTTTATCAAGGCTTTATATCATCATTTTGCACTTGAAGTATCAATAACTCCTTAACTAAAACATGCTTTGTAATAACAAGTCTGATAATATAAGATACCTTTAATTTATGGTAAATACTCATTTTAACTGCAGGTATTCTCACAATTCAAAGGATTGATTGTTGTGACTAACTATTAGAAGTGAAAGGACAAAGAAAAGGCTAAACTTACGAAGGAGATGCCGATTCACTTCAAATTCGAACATTGTTCAGTCATCGGATCATATCTAGAGCTATAGATCTTGGATTTCATATTAATTTATATGGCTGGAAAGATAACAAATAGGCCTACAACTTTCATGGGTATGGAAAGACCCAAATTTGCTATTTTCAAATTCAAAGTTTGGCCACAAAAGAGAAGTCTGAATTTGTCTTGCAATCCAGCCCAAACACTACTCAAAGTTTTATCCATAACTGGAGTTCTAGAAGTCCAAATGATCTGAAATTTGGTGGGTGGAAGGAAAAGACAATTTTCAACAACTTTCATGAGAACCAGCTCAAATTCGGATGGTATAAATGAGATTGCATCCACACAAAAGCATGAGTGCTATCCACCACGTCCACCAGCAGCACTACTTAGTATTTTAGACATATATCGAGCTGTAGTGATCCAAATGATCTAAAATTTGGTGGGTGGAAGGAAAAAACAATTTCCAACAACTTTCATGAAGAACACTTTGCCAAATTCTGATTGCATCAATGTCAATTCAGTCATCCAAAGTGCTTGAGTAATGTTGTCCACCAAGTCCACTATCAATAGTTGGCCACTACATCAATTATCAATTACCACATGAATAGTTCTAAATTTTAGCCTATAAAAGGAGGCATTTTTCATTTATTTGGGCATCTTTTTTCCATATCAAGATCATGTTCTTGCTCTTTCTCTTTATATTGTTGTAATGCTTAAGTTTTGCTTTCATTAATCTCTTGTTCATGTTTGTCATTTCCTTTACTATACTTAGTTAACTTATATCATGTTTATGTTCTTATATTGTTTCTTTAAGTTTTTCTCCTTCATAATGTCTAGCTAAGTTAATTATGTCAAGGTGAAAAGGTTTCACTAATGGTGTTAGGATAAGTAAATATAAACTCAATATGGACTTCAATGCTTATATCCTAAACAACTTGCTATTAACATGTCTTATCATTTTTATCTTATTAATTCTTAATACCTTACTTGTTAAATGGTTAATTTAGATTTGTGTTGTGTAACAATTGGTACATCAAATACTTGATCCTTCGTAGTATTCGGCCGACATCGTTATTATGAGAGGAACTTGATTTATTGTCAACATAAGTTAGCATCATGAATACTTAATAAAATTTATAAGTATGGTGTTATGTAAATAAGATGATTAATATGATCATGTTGATAATTAATAAAGAGTTTATACCTTACTTATCTCTAATACTATTAGTGTATCCTCTAACCTTGACATTTGTTTTAATCATTATATAATCTTCACATTAATTTTACATCTCAAAGTCCTCTTTAACTCATCTTCACCACCACCATCATCATTGTTGTTGTTGTTGTTGTTGTTGTTGTTTTTATTTATAATTTATATAGTTAACATTTATGTGGTTCGACCCCAGTCTTGCTGGGTTATTTATTACTTTGACACTTCTGCACTTGGGATAAGACATCAACTCTTTGATCGTGTCAGTTATCATCAATAGTTTTTATTTTTTATTTTTTATTTTTTTTGCATTTATCATCATGGTTGATGTTTTATTTAATCAATTAAATGCATGCATGAAATTTTTTATTTTTGATTAAATTTTTTTAGTGTCTAAAAACATTTTAGAAACATTTACATATTAATTTTATTATATTGAAAAGGAAAATTTATCCAGCACAGGCTACATAACTAGCATAAAACATAAGTTGTGAATCCAGCTCTAAACTCATTGCCACGAGTATCATTTGTTTGGCCAAACTAAAAGGAACAAATCCAAAATACCTAAAAAAGGAGAAAAATCGAAGCTCTCACTCAAATCACATCTGGTGCAGGCAATGAGCTCAAAATAAATCAGACAAATAAATTCTTCTCGATATGGAAGAGAAAATAGACAATTACATCCTGGGTTCTGTTTGCCACCCGATTTAACATTATACATATACTAAAAAAATGATAAAATTGTCATTTAATTAAATTTTAAGATTTAAGAAGAAAGAATTACTTACAAACATTGATAAAATCCATCGGTAAATCAGAACACGGATGTTGTGACCACAAAACTTCAAGAAACATAACTTGTTGTGCTGATATGAGGGAGATTTTTGTTTGAGGGGGATAAGGGGCTGGTTGTTTGCAGATGGGGAGAGTTGGGATTAGAAAGAAGAAGGAGAAATAGGGGAGGAGAGGGTCCGCAACGCGTACATATATTAACTTTTCCCGACGGTTTCACCGACAGATTTTTCGTCGATGAAACCGTTGATGATTCTGACAGATCAATAGACACATCACCGTACGGATCTACCATTTCAAATCTGTTGGAAATATAAATGGCGGTTGTTGTACGAGCTATCTTTTTGAATCCATCGGTGATTCAGTCTAAAAAAATAACCCGCCAAAACCTCCACGTCAGCGACCCGTTTTTTTTTTACGACGGAAACTTTTCTGTCTGTAATTCAGTTGGTAACTACCGATGAAAATTTTCCGTCAGTAGTTACCGACTGAATTACAAATTTTCCGTCGGTAGTTACCGACAAAAAGATTCTGTCGGTAAATCCGTTGCTATTTAGCAAATTTCTGGTAGTGAAGTCTTTTGCATTTTTTATGGTTTTTTATAATAATATTATTTGATATAGTGTATGGCCTATTTGTTTTATTTTTTTACTTTTTAAACTTGATGTATTTTCATCTCCTTAAGATTAAAAAATTAATTAATCATTTTGTTGTTTGTTTGTTTTTTATAAGTTTTGTTTTCAACTTTAGGCAAGAAACCTCCTTTTTTTTATGGGACATTCAATAAATTAAAGTATTTTTTATTTCATGTAGGTATAATTTTTTTTTTTGTTGTTTAGATGAAAAATAATTTTTAAGATAAAATATTGTTAAATTTAATGAGAGTCGATTATGGATTTTACTAATTAACTTTAATTAACTTAATTTTTTTTTAAATTAATTTTTTTTAAAATTTTTTGTTTCCCCAACCAATTTTTTTTTTTTTTTTTGCTATAAAAAAAGCGTTGAATCTTGCATTTTTATTTGTTGAAAAAAAATGTTTGCTATAAGAAAATTGTGTTGGATAAGCCATTATATTCTTTTTATTCCCTAGAAGCACGGGTCATAAAACTAATTATATATAATACATGTCTCAACTAATCACAATCGTAATTTATTATTATTCCTTCCTACAAGATATAAATGAATCAAGCATAACTCCATGAGTTGATCCTAATTTAATATTTTAGTATCGCTTACGCACGCACATAAAAATCACTATAGAGAAAAACATTGTGCTTCTTCTTGCATTTCACTATGAACTTATTATGTGATTTATTTTTTCATTTTTGGTAACCAAACTTTTGTTTTGGATGATTTTATTCTTTTGTGGCCAAATTAAAAGCTAATTGTATCAATTTTTTTGAGAAATGATCAAAATGAAAAAGGCAAAGAAATTGGATGGCAGGTTCAAAATTGGATTAAAAAATTCATCTTTATCCTATTAATTTTCAAATTATACACCTTTGATTTCTCAATATTTTAGAAATATAATTTTGTCCTAAAACTTTAGATTTGATGTTAATTGGCCTTTACCTTACCTGAAAAGGTAGATTTGAGGTCATGAAGTTGTTTGCTTTCGGATTGATTTTGATTTTTTAGATTATTTAAAATCATATATAAGTTTATCATAGTATCTAGCTTATAGGTATTTTAGGTTAAAAACACATTGAATGTTGAATTTTTGAAAAAAAAAAACTAAAGACTTGATTTTATAGCAACCTGGAATCGAGGTGACCAAACCACAAGTTATCTATTTTATTTAAATAAATAAAAGGTTAACATATTATTTTTTCTTAGTATCTAAAAAATAGCATCCGTTCTTTTATATTTAAAAAATTCTCTAAATGTGCTAGCTAAGCCTCTTTTCATAGGCTTGGCTCGTAGATAAGTCCATGCTCTTGGCTTGTTTGTTCTTCTTTTTATTTATTTTATTTATTATATTTTCAAAACTATTGACTAAAAAAATTTATTTCATCATTTGTTTGTTTTTTAAAAAAAAAATTATTTGACTAAAAAAAACAATCTTTTTGTTATAAACTTTTAAGAAATGGAACTGTTTTTTTTATTTTAGTCTCATATATCACCCATGTTTTTTCTTCTCCTTTTTTTGAAGAAAAAAATAGTGTTTGATATATATAAATGCATGCACGCTTTTTTATTTTCGCTCAAAGTTTGTTCACCGTGTCTAAAAACATTTTATAAACATTTACATAACTAGCATAAAACATAAGTTGTGAATCCAGCTCTAAACTCATTGCCACGAGTATCATTTGTTTGGCCAAACTAAAAGGAACAGATCCAAAATACCTAAAAAAGGAGAAAAATCGAAGCTCTCACTCAAATCACATCTGGTGCAGGCAATGAGCTCAAAATAAATCAGACAAATAAATTCTTCTCGATATGGAAGAGAAAATAGTCAATTACATCCTGGGTTCTGTTTGCCACCCGATTTAACATTTGCATTCAAACATGAAGCTGAGAGAGGCATGTTTGCTTTCTGGCCGATATAGGCCAAATCGATGTCCACAAGTTCTACTCCTTGACAAGGAACCAATGAACTGCACAAAAAACTGACAGCAACATTGGAAGTTGAGGTGCCTTTGATGTTCTGGTAATGAACATTGCTAATTTTCACTCGCGATGGCTGCACAGAACATGAACAAGCTTAGCAATCCAACGTTAATTAAGCTAAAAAAAATTAAATTACATACAATATAGGATTTATCAAATATTCTGATGTTGCACGGGTATACATAATATAATAAGATTTTTGTCTTTGAATTACCGCGCCATTGCGGGAACCATACTTCTGATCAATGATAATGGGATTTTTCACACTATCCATAGTGATATCTTTAAAAGTGATATTTAAAGCTTGGCTAGGGTCAGATGCAGCATATGATTTGATTCTCACACCATTGGTGGTGTTAAACAATGTGCAGTTAGTCACAACAATACCGCTCACATCCTCCTCGTTCTTGTACTTGCCAAGGCTTCCAACACTGGTGTAAGTCCAATCCAAAAATAGAGAAGAAGTAAGTAAACGAATACATTTATACCTGGAACTTCATGAATGATGCTCACTGACTCAGACATGGGATTGCTGGGGGGGGGGGGGCAGCTGGTAACGTGCATGTGGAAATATTTGCTATCGACAGAGCTGATCTCGTGAACAAAAGCATTGTTTACTTTGCTCAACTTAATGGACTGCAACATGGAAAGAAGTCACAAAATCATTCCAAGTTTATACTTTTACGACCACATGTGTAGTAACTTTTGTGAATTAACTCTCCGGCAACTAAGTATGTTAACAAATGGGGAAACGTTTTCTTCAGAATGAAAACAAATGTGTTACTGATCCCGGACTGTATCTTGGTTGCAGTCAAAGGTTCTTTAAAACTTTATTTCAACACTGACAGAAGTGATGGCTTATGTGAAGAATGAGATTCTTATTGTGCAGTCCTGGACATATTCCTGATCATGGTCAGGCCAATGATTAATAAATTTTGTGGCAAGTGCTATACATACACTGGGAAGTGCCTGGCATTGCTTGTTTTCATGGCAATCGTTGTACTTCCAGACGGCACTGCCTTGCCCATCAAAAGTTCCTCCACCGTTCAATGTTAAACCATCAATTATTTCAAATAAGATCCATTGTTCTGAACTATATTCACTGAGATCAGTAGTAGCTTTCACGTTTCCCTGTACTTCAAAAACTATAGGCTTGCTTTTGCACGGCCCTTGAAATACAACAGGGCTTGTCAAGAATGTCCCTCCAGGGATGACCACCTTTGCTGGAACACCTGAATCACATGCTGCCCGCCATGTTTGGATAAATGCCTGCATGATACACATTTTTAGACGTTAATTGGAGTTGCAAACCTTTTTAGAGCGCAAATCCTGTTTAGCAATTAAAATTCAGGATAGTTAATTATTTTGTCAGAAAAAAATCAAACTCTTCCACGTGTTCTGTTATTCGGTTGCACAGAACTAAGCCAAGTCAGGGCAATCAATTATAAGACTGGCTTTGTCTTGCGAACTCACCTGTGCGTTATCGGTCTTATCATCAGCCTTGGCACCGTGTTTTGTTACATCAAAAACTGTAACCGCGGCACCACTACCGTCAATGAGGCTACGACGATCACTAAGACCAATGTGGTGGCGAAGTGCACCATCGGCCACGCAAGAGAGCAAAGCTAAGCCTAAAACAAGAATGCTTCCTGCAATGGTCATGGTGACTTTTAACCCAGAATGAAAGGTTTCTTTTTAAATCTTCAAGTTCTTGCAGAGGAATGTGAATTGTACCTCTCCATGTTTTATCTTTTATAGATTAAAATCTCTATCTCTATTTTTAGTGATGCCCCCCCAAACATAGCACTGTAACCGTAGTTAAGAATGAATCTCCGTCTTCCCTGCTATATTTCAGGTCGCTTGTAGCCATCGAAATAAGATGTCACTGTATGTTGACTTAGAATGACCGATTCTTTTCCCATAAATATATAGGCACAAGTGATGAATACCTTCTTCTAGGAATAGAAATCATGGGATGTGTAGCTCTCAACCACTGGTTTCCAGAAGAAAAATAGAATTTACTATATCATGAACAGTGTAATCCAAAAACATTCTATCTTAGGATACACCATATGAATTTAGGATGCTTCGGTGAGCTATAGAGCGGATCTAAGCCACAGCTCGATTGGCAAGCATGATGATGTTCTTATTCCTCGGAATGTTCGAGTCTCCTTATGAATCCCAAAAATAAAAATTCAAAAGCCTTGTGATTTACAATCACTCATTATAGTGATTAATTACATGGAATTATTGTAGAGTCGTGAACATACAAAAACCCTTAAAAAAAATATTTCCGAGGTACTGGCGTTGCCACCGGGGCAGGTTTCTTAACGAAATACTCAACATTTATCACACCCTTGTTCTTCTGGGCTGCCGTGTAGCATTCAATAGTCTCCCTTGTATAACAAGAAGCATGTGCACTTGAAAGCTGTTGTTGAAATGTTGAAAGCTGAGGCATCTTTGCCTTGGGAACTGGACCTTTGCTCTCCTCCAACAATTGAAAGGCTTCAATTCCAATCTCTGCAAGCTTGTTTGGAGGAACCATTCTCAAGCAGTCTTCCTCTCTATTCTTCTAGTAATTAAAAACCTGTCTGCTGTTACTAGTGCTTGTCGTCGCTATACCTATGGAGCATAACCATTTTATAGCATAAGCTTTGTTCCTCTTTTTTCACATTATCATGAGACATGCATTCTCCTCCTTTCTCTCCCCCCAAATTACTGGAAAATGTAAGAGATGCTTTGATGATTTGTTAAATTGATTTTTTTTTTATTTATTAGATTAAATCATCATTTTTTTATTATTATTTATTTTGTTTGGCATAGTTTTTTTAAAAATTTTGTAATTTCATCATCCTATTATTTCTTCTATCATATTTAATCTTTATTTTTTTTATTATTTTTTTATTAAATTTTTTTTAAAATTGATATCTTTTTTTTTGTTTTACCCTTTAACATTAAATTGATTAGGAATTGATATTTTTAATTGAGTTCGGATTTAGAATTTAAAAAATTAACTTAGATGTAGAAGATTCACTCGAATTTACTTAATTTATTATTTTTTTTAAGATTATATTTTTTTAATTTTATTTTTTAGTATTTATTTGATTTTAGATTGGGCTCTATTATTTTTTTATTTGTTTTATATTGATTTTAAAAATAATTTAAATTATATATTTTTTAATATTGAGTTGTTTAGTAATTAAGTTTAATTATTTTATTCAACTTGTGTTACTTGATTTAATAGAAAAATATGTTTTTGTTAATTTATTAGTTAATTTATTTATTGTTATTTTATTTTTTATTTATAATATTAAATTAATTGATTATTAAACATAATCTAATCAATAACCTTTTTTAAAAAAAATTATTTGTATCGCTTTAATTTTTATTTCGAAAAAAAATAAAAAAACACTCGAGCATGTGATGGAACACATGCTCTCAATCTAGTGCTTACTAGAGGATAAGGAACGACGTCAGTTCCCTGTGTACTGAATAATTCATGTGGAAGGCCGCATGCTTTTAGTATATCCTTTGGGCCAAAAAATATGAACTCCGAGGGTTTTTTAAAAAAAAAATCAAGAAGGTTGCTTTTCATAGTTCAAATTTTAAGATATGATTGTCAAGAAAAAATATTTTATTTTTTAGTTTTTATCGACGTACAAGTAGGTCCGAAAATAAAAATACTACACATCTTCGAATAAAAAAAATAATAATTAGTGCAAAAAGAGGAGCATCCATATGGACCGATGTGTCCATAATTTAGCCACGGCAAAACCAGTGATAGGTGGAGAGAAGATAAAGAATCTGGGATAGGATATGTACACGTGCTTTTTGATGGGGTCTATCCAAAACAGAACTTCAAAATATCTTTCGAAAAGATGGATTTGTTCAGGATCAGAATTTCACCCCTATTTAGATCAAGACTGGTTTTAAGGCCTGCGCTCTACTGTTAATCAAATAAAAAAATTAATGCAACAAAAATTATCCAGATTATAAATAATTACTTGACAGTGCCGTGTATTAACTTTGAAATCTTTTAATGGGATATTTTAATTAGCTTGAATATAAAATTAAATTTAAAAAATAATATATTATCATTCAGTTAATTTAATTAATTTAAAAACAATTTGGTCATTTAATAATAAAAAAAATTGATGGTAAATTGAAAAACAAAATGAAAAAATTAATAAAAAAACAAAAACAAAAACTCTTGGTTTAATGTTTTACCTCATCCGAGTTTAAAAATAAATAGTTGAAAGTTTCTCTAATATAACTTAACCAATTTGATTTATTTGAAGGCAACTTGACTTATCAATAAAGAAAATTTAAGAATGAAAAAAAAAATTAAATGTAATTTCTTATCTGAATTTAAATTTATATTATATAAGAATTATATTGAAATAATTTAATTTACATTGTAGGCTTAAAGGTAGTACAATAACTTTTAAAAAAAATTAAAAAAAATGATGAGATTAAAAATAAAATAAAACAAAAATAAAATAAGTTGAAGGAAAAAAAAGAAGGAAAAAATAAAGCTACGTTAAAGCCTTGTTTGTTTTAAGAAAATGCTTTCTTAGAATGTAATTTTCAATGTTTTCAACCAAAAAAAATCCAAAAAAAAAGTGCTTTCCTCTTCTTAATTCCGAATGGCACTTTTTTTTTTCTTAACATATAAAATCAACTTCATACAAATACCACTTCCACAAAAATCTCTCTTTTTACATTGCCTTTACCTCTTTTTTTTTTTTTTTTCATTTGCAAAATCAAGATGGAGATCTCATCATTAGACACAAGATGGATCCCACCTCAACTTGCCATGGTTGTTGCTTCCATAACCCATGACAATGGATTCCACGTAAACCCCAAAATCGTGAGTATTTAACTTTCATTTAAAGCAAATAATAGGATTGAATTTTGACATAGGAAACTGCAAAATATTTTAGGCTTATTTGTTTTTTATTTTAAAAGTATTTTTAAAAAGATTTAAATATTTTTTATTTTTTATTTATTTCAAATTAATATATTTTTAATATTTTTAAATATTTTGATATATGATGTTAAAAATAATTTTTAAAAAATAAAAAAAATATTAATATTTATTTTGATACAAAAAATTATTTAAAAAAATAACTATAACTATATTTCTAAACAAAATTTTAAGTTGGAAAGGAAATTAGCAACAAGATCAACTACAATCGAAGGAAAAGAAACTGAAGTTGAAGCATTTCTTGGTTCTTAATCAGAAATTGTTGTTTTTTGGTTGTATCCAAACAACCCTTACCAGTTACCGCTTTTGAATGTTATCGTCATCTTGAAAATTCCTTCGATAGGGACATTAACCCGCCAGAGGCCAGTCACCTATTATCAAAACATTATCCTTAAAAAGACCTTTCAACTAATCTAAACTTGTAATAGATAGTAAGTATGAGATGAATGATTTGTATATGTACTATATATTGTTATTTTATTCCATGACAAATTAAGTTTATGGTTTTCTATGACTAAATCCATATGAGAAGTAAAATCGTACGTTAGAAACATAAAAGAAAATTACATTTTCTTCCCTGGTTCTACAAAATATCTATCTTTATATATATTTATCCCCAATACCAAAATCAGAATATATAACTCATAATTAATACCATTAACTAATTTGGAGTTTTCATTCATTTACAAAAATATTTTAAGGTTTTAAAAATAAAATTTAATTAAAAAAATATTTAACAACGTTATATGTCTGTAATATTTTATTTAAAATATTTATATTATATGTATATATATTTTTTATAAAATAAGCTATATATAAATATATGATATAATAAATTCTTTTTTCTTTCACAATTACATTTTTTATATCCCATTCTTTTATTGTTATTGTTAATGGTGATATATATATATATATATATATATATATATATATATATTATATAAAATAAAATAATAAAGTAAAACCAAGATATTTTGATTGAGATATAACTAAAAAGTCTGGAATAAATTGAAATTCAAGTTTCAATAAATAAATAATGATTAAATTTTTAACTTTTTTTTTGTATAATAGCGTAATTAAGTCGGACCAAATTTACTCTAATTTATTGAATTTTAAGGAGCAGATAAAGATTTACTAAACACAGCTCTCGCTTGTCTCTGTAATTTATTTTTTGTGAATATATATAATTTTTTTATGAGTAGATTTAATTGTAAACTTTATTTTATTTTCTATCACTTGTAAATTTTATAAGTAGCAGATAAGGGTTACCGACCTCATCACTAATGTAATCGAAAAAGATGACTAATGTAATCATGTTAACAATCTATAATCTGATTGGAACCTCCTTTGTATGTGGTTTCCAATTGAATAATAAGAGTTTATACTATACTTGTTTGACATATCATTAGTGGAACCTCTAACCTTGACATTTGTTATTATTATTGTTTAATCCTTACATTAATTTTCCATCTTCAAGTTCTCATCATCATCTTCTTCTTCTCTTTCTTTATTATTATTATTACTATTACCACTATTACTACTACTACTACTACTACTACTATTATTATTATAGTTGTTGTTATTATTGTTATTATTGTTGTTATTATTGCTATTATTGTTGTTTATAATTTGTACAATTAACCTCCCTATGGTTCGACCCCGGTCTTGCTGGGTTATTTATTACTTTGACACTCCTGCACTTGGGAGAAGACATCAATCTTTTAGTCGTGTCAACTACCTTCCTTTCTTTTTATTCTAAACTTATAAAAAACAAATTGGTCATTTTGAGCTCGTGAGCTTGATATTGGATCCTTTAAAACTTAACCAAATTTCTTCCATCTTTTTATCTCCTTTTTATCCTCTTTGCTCCTCTAATCATCTGTTCTTTTATAAGCTAATTATGAGCTTCTAAATGAGTTTGTTGGGGTTATAACAAATAAAAACTAGGTTGGTTTTATCACAAGGTAAATAATTTTGGATTTACGTGGCTTTGTCACATATTTAGAGGCTAAGGTGAAGTGTTTCACCTTTTTTATCTTGAGAGAAGTGTTTACAGCTTTTGATTGGAACCTTTTTGGGATATTTTAATAGTAAACAAATGAAAAAGTTGGTTGTTTTTATATGAATGAGTATCTTAGTTAACGCTACCTAGGGTGGCCACTTTTATGGCTTTGCCATAAAAGCTATAATGTCAACATTGCCTGGAACTATCTAAACTTAGTAGAGGAGTGCATACATTTCGATTGGATCCATTCTTGCTCAATTCAGTAAAGAGTAGCTTCACATACATTCATTTAAAAGTGTCAACCTAATCAGCATAGAATCTGAAAATGTAATGATAGCTAATTAAAGACAAAATGTTGTTAAGATTATTGAAAAAAAAAATGATGTAACCATTTAATTTCTTGGAACAAGATTATAAAGGGTATTTCTTAGTTGAATAGTGGTGGTTATAGCCTTAAAGTGGTCAGAAATTCCACATTCATTCACCTAGGTTAAACTCTTTCAATCAGCAAAAACTGTCGAAGAAGAAGATAATGGCCGAACGACACATCGTA